TAATTTACATTTACTTTGTGGCCAACACAAAGAAGTTACTGTGTTAAACATTTCATATTAGAATTATGATTGGTGATTCATGTATATGTATATTATCATCATGGAAAATACATGTAAAGCACAAACACATTTACAATTCCTCTTTATCCACCAGTGAGGGGAGCTATTGTACCTTTCAGCTAGATTCATACCTAGATTATTTGGCTAATTTAATTTCTGCATTCATATCATTGTGTATCTATACACAAGTGCATTTTTTTGTTGTTGAGTGGAAGAGTCCGAGGCAGGGAGCCAGAGCTGCCAAACAAATACAGAGACTGGTAGGCAAGGGAACTTACACAACCTCCCTCCCTGGAAGCGAGCCACAACAGTGTGTGTGTGTGTGTGTGTGTGTGTGTGTGTGTGTGTGTGTGTGTGTGTGTGTGTGTGTGTGTGTGTGTGCGTGCGTGCGTGCGTGCGTGCGTGCGTGCGTGCGTGCGTGTGTGTTAAGCAACAGTTCCTGGAGATCCTCTTGAACCCAAAACAAGACAAACAGCCAAATCTTTGTTCTAATAACACAGACTTAGTTTATCTGTTTCTGTCAGCCTCATGTGTGACCAGAAGGAGCAGCAAAGCCTTAAATATGTGTTTCATTCAGGAAACAGGGAAAATATACCCAAGGGATGAGATTTCCACTGAAAGGGATAGGGTTAGCTGAGGGTAAGCGCCAGTTTTACAGTTTATGATCAGATCCAAAGAAAAGCTGCGATTCACGAGAAATTCATTTTGATGAGAGGCAAAATGGAACCGTGATGTCATAAATCAACAGCAGGAACATGCTTAGCCATACTGGGAGGTGAGAGAAAAGCAAGACATGTGTTAAGACAGGTTTTTTAATTGCTCTGAGTATGTTTTAAAATTCAAGACAAACAGAAGTAAGTGCTGCGTGCATGCTGTCCCTTGAAATAAACGTGAAAGATCACTTTGTCCTTCCGAGAAGAGACTTCACTGTCAAACATAATTGGAGCTAATTAGTACAATACTTGAGTACAATCTAATAAAGGGATTTTATTTTTTACCTCAGGATTAGAGTGGAACAAGATCGCTAACGTAAAAAGAGAAGAGCGATGTCAGGTGTTTGGATACTGAAGTGCAGCCAAGTGTAGAACGGGCGTCATGAAAAGCTGTGTTGCAACAAATGTGGAAGGGGAACCCAGAATACAGACAGAATAACATACCTCTGCGTCAGACTATTTTGTGTGTAAAATTCCCCAAGATATTTTGCTGTTGATTTATTGGTTGTGTGTTAGGGACATATAAAGAAGACACAAACGCATGACATCGTCCAATTTGTATGTTTTTTAGAAATTTTGATGATGGCTGAAAGAGAACAGGAACGTTGAATGTTTGAGGTTTAGGTGCATGATGTTTAATCCAGACAGGTGTCAGGCAAATCCTTTGGTGATTTCGGTGAGATGAAACTGATCAGATGATGGCTATATGTGCATGTTCCTTCAGATTACATATACTGACAGACATGTCTGTGGATGACTCACAGTCTCTAAACTCTGTAGTTCAGGGATGTATGTTGAATCCTGGAAGCTTTAAACTCACAAAAGCCCCATATTAAACTCAAAGTAAACACAATCAAAACATTTAAAACAACAGAGCCACAAATATTTCCTTTTGGCTATGTTGTGTGGCACAAAGTGGATGTTCCTGCTGCACGGAGGTATTTGTGCACAGATAATGAGGTCCCTTGTGCAATCTAAACAATGGCTCTTTAAACTGCATTTTATTTCTTTTTATTTCTGCTTATCTTAAGAAATAATAATATTCATTGTAAATTTACTGGAACTGATGAGTGTTCATGCTGTGGTACGCTCTCTGACCTGTCTTGGACTTGTTAGTATTTGCACTAGGACTTTGCCATTGTCCTCGCCAAATATTCTTGTTGGTTTTGACTAGGTCCATCAATTATGTTTGGTTTTTTTTCTGAAGAAATTTTCTCCTCCAAAGCAAAACCATTGATGATTTTCAGAAAATGGGAATTCTTTTAATTGGCCAATCTTATGCCTGCCAGCCAAAATCATCTCATGGGCAATGGCAAATACACTCTTTTCTTTCTGTCTTTCGCATTTGGACTTGGTCTTGACATGGAATCAAACCTCTTTGGACTAAATCTTGGAATCTTGGAACCCAAGACATTCATAATGTGAATTAATGTTTTTATTTGTGTTCATTTCTGCTATCTAAAACGGTATATGTTTCAAAACTGTTAGAAATGTTTGGTGCGTAAAGCTTACGCCGATTGGTCGGCATGAGATGTTTATGTACGCATAGTGTGTACACATGTACACATGTACTTTCCAGTGTTTGACCCTAAGCCTGTCTAGAAAGAAGTAGGTCATCAGGTTTGGCAATACATTTTCTGTTGGAATGTATGTTTATAACTATTTTATTTTACTCCCATGACATTGCAACCATTTATGTCAGCTGTGAGAATATAATGTAGACCTCTTTCTATCTACATTTGAAATCTTTGTGTGTACACTCGAGATGGCCTTTATATATAATAATAATGGAACGTGTCTGTATGTTTGGAAAGGGGAATCAGTTTATCCATTAACCCAAGTCAAAGAGGAGTACTGCTACAATAGTAGCTGATGTGAGCGTCAGTGTATGCGTTTGTCTGCGTGCATCTGAATGTGAGCCAAAGGATGATTCCTGGTCTGTATATTCTCACACTGCGCTCATCCAACTGTATCCAGGCAACAGCTCATAATATTGATCAGTGTGTTTGATCAGAGAGATATTGATGGATCTGGAGCCTCACATCAAATGACGTCTTCCACTTTCTTTTATTTATATATTGGTATCCAGGAAACTTGTAATGAAAACAGTATTGTGTGTGTGTTTATGTGTGTGTCTGTGCTCATATGTGGGAATGTAAGTGTCTTTTTCCTCCCATTATTCCTTTTCTTTACTGTGAATCCCTGTGAGTGTGTCATTCCAGTAAATAGGTTTACAACAACAATACTACAACAACAAAACTACTTCTACTACTACTACTACTACTACTAATAACTTAATTTATATAACACCTTTTAAAATGTGCCTTGACAGACAAGACAAAATGATAGCTGTGATACACAAAATATGTTTAAATATAAAAAGAATGATTACCAAAATACAACAATAAGAGCAGAATAGAAGCCATGAAAATAGAAAATAAATAAATTAATAAATAGAATTAAATAGAATAAAGTAAAAAGATGACATCAAATAAAGGCGAGTGGGATTTATGAAGTGATTTAAAAGAAGTCACTGATTCTGCAAACCTCCTAGACCCAGACGTGGTTTTAAAGTGATCAGCGAAAAAATATATTCCACAAAGGAGCCAGTAGAGAGAAGCCAGGATTGGGGTGATGTGATGTCGTCTGTTAAAACCAGTGAGAAGCCAAGCTGCTGCATTCTGATTGGAGGCGAGAGAGTGACTTTTCTTGGTTTATGCCAGATAGGTGGGAGATACAGTAGCCTGTGTGATGGGAAGTGTCTGTTTCCTGTGCCGCTTTTTCCCAGTAGTTTCCATGTTTTGTACCAGCCCGCAAGTCTGTGAATCATGGTAACCACGCTGCCAATTGTTTCACAATGTCAGTGTCCTTACGAAAGTCCTCATGTTGCCATTGAATTCAGCATGTAAACCAAATATCCTGGTGCATGATGGTTGCCGTGCAGTATAAAGTCTGAAAGTTTGGCTTGGAGGGATTAATTTTTTATGTTCTTTGAATTATGTTGCCTCTTCAGGACTTTATTATCTCAAAGACTCCTTTCTTTCTAGTATAACATATTACTTTCATTGTAGTCTTAAAGATCAGACAAAGTTTATGTCATCGACTGCTGTAGTCCAGTTTGCCAGGGTTTGCCTGCAGCATTTTCTGAGTAATAGCTTTCTTGCTCGCTTCACAAAGTATTTTAATAAACTCTTAATTTTGTGCCGTATTATCCCTGTCAGAAAATATTCGGTTATATTCCTCAAACTAAAATCTCACCAGGAACTTGAATTGGTGGTCTATATAATATTCCAACTATCCTCAATTACCTCCTGGCTGTATTCTCTCTCCCATTTACTTTTGATATAGACTGTTGAAGGATTTTAGTTGTTACATTGGCGGTTTGTGGTCTCTAGTCTTGAAATTATGTTGACTCTATTAGCATGGTTCAGTGTCTCCTTTTATAGTAAAGCACTTAGTGGCATGTCTCCTTGTGGAAATGGCCATATGTTGTTAACCATTGTTACTGCCTCATAAACACTATACTATTATAGGTGCTCATCCACAACCAGCTAGATCTGGATTAGACATCTTTGTCATGACTTCATGCTTGGCAAAGAAACATGTAATATTTTGAAGACTTGTAGAAATATGTACATTTATTTACTTTATTTTGAAAAGTCTGAAGGTGATGACAGAAACCACCACGCACACATTCGCAATCAGTTTTTGTTGTTTGGGAGCGTCTCTAGGCGATGTGGTTCTCAATCTCCTAAGGACCTTTCTTGCCAGAGTAATTCAAACATTATGTCATTGGGAAATGGTACGTGTGTCTGAAGCCTACCCAGAGAATAGACTACACTCTCCTGAGAACAAATAGGAGAGGAGAGAACACACACCTCTGGGAACAACCATCATGAAAATCCCCCAATCAGTTTTCCCCATTGTTAAGTGCTCATTAACACTTTGTTGGGCT